ATGACACTGAGGGTTGCGATCTGTTGCCGGACACGAAAAAAGACAAAAAGGGGGAAAAAAAATGGCAATTAGGGCTGGATGATAAGCTTTCCTTAATGGAAGGGAAGTTTTAAAGCTTGGGGGAAAAAATGGCAATTAGGGCTGGATGATAAGCTTTCCTTAATGGAAGGGAAGTTTTAAAGCTTTTTCTTTTATTAAAAGCCCATTTTTTCCAAGTTATAGTAACTTTCAGCTGAATTTTAAAAATTTTAGCAATAATGCTTACAGTAACCCCATTCAGCTTGTGTAAGTCAGCCCTGGAATTAACATCTGGAAAGAAATGGAAAACAGTGGTTCCTGCTGTTCCTTTTTTGGGTTGCCTGACTTACAAGGGGGCTTTTACCCACCCTGCTGCACACGCTTGGGTAAAATCATAACTGCTGCCCCAAGGCTAAACCATGCTATGCAAACATTTTTCATCTTAACCAGCATTAAGCCTATTCTAAAAACGATTATTCTACTGGACTGCACAGGCTGCTTTTGTATTTACCCCACAAAGTAAACTTAGCTCAGGCACCTAAGAAAGTCATGCAAATATGGAATCCTTAAAGTGAAAGCAACACTAACAATGAAATGCTAAAGAAATCATCTCTGAGAATATTTTATAAAGCACAAAGATGACCCAGGAAGATAATGACTTACCCATTCAACAGGTTTCTAAAACCCAAACCAAATAAAATAAAACCACACCACATCTAAATTACAACACTTTATTGCAGCATTGGCAAAGGTCAGATTTCGGAAGCTGGTGAAGATTGGGCAGCATTTCCAAGAGAAATGTTACAACTTTACAAGTTTTGTTTCTTATTTAAATCTACATGCAGAAACTGAAACATGGTAAAAGAAAAAATGCAAAATAGCTAGAAAAAAAGATGTCAAGTTGTAGCATACAGATGTGCTCTTTAACTAAATTTACTATGCCTATTGGAAAGCAAACGAAAGACAACTACCCTAATAAATTAACAGATTGTCAGAAACAGACTAAGAACCCTCATTTCTATTTAGTGGGGAGAAAAGAAAAGAAAAGAAAAGAAAATGAAAACAAAAGCAAAATAAAGCTCTACTTGTTTCCATATTTTGTTTAGAGACAGAGGCTGTAAACCCATGAAGGTCAACAAAACATCTGATCCACTTGTCCTTCGTTCGTTTTCTGTGACACGCTGACTGGCTCGCTTTGTTTTCAATGATACTTACAATGGGCTCAACAATAACCCTGTTCTTAGGCGGGTATCAGACTTTTCTAAGCCATCTGAATGAATGCTTTTTGCATACTTATAGTCTCCACATTTTTCTTTTACCCTAATAGGCAATTTTATATTACTGACTCTGAAGGATAAACACATTTTTCTCCCTCATCCCTTATTCCTCTTGAAACAAATTCCTAAACAAAAGCCTTCCTGGTGGATTATCTAGTATTTGCATATCTTTCATCATTTTGTTGTCCTGCATGTAAGTTTTTACTAGAAGATTTTACTGCTTGCTCTATACTTTTCTACTGTAGTCCTGGAGCCCCCAAATGTATCTTCTTCCAACATGGGATGTTCAGTTCAGAGACACTGAAACTCAAATCAAGTTTAAAACTCAAGTTCATTTCCCCCATACCATTACCATCACAACCGTTTCTTCTCTGGCTCAGTCGTCTCATTGACACTCTTCCTGGTGTAACTGCTCAGTAGTCAAGTGAACCATCTCATTTCTTGACTGCCATTCTCAAGAGAAGATTAACCCTCACGTGATTTCCATTACAAAAGGCCTTTCATGCCTTGTCTGGAAGCGTCGGCTTGTTCCGGTGTTGGCAGAGGCTGGTGTTTCTGCCTCATGGCCCCAGCCTGTCCCAGGTTTAGATTCTCAACTCTCTAGACCGACATGCTGAGATGTGTCCACTGCTCTCATTCAATTGCTGGAGGACTCCACTATCCACAACATCAGATACAGGACCTAATGAAATGACACGTGCTGATGGATCAACGTCTCCTAAAGGCACAAACAAGGCAAAGTTAAAGAGATTCTGCCACAGGGCTAAGCTCAGGCAAGAAAGCATCCCCTCAAACATTACCATACACCTTTTAGTGACTTCTCCAAATTAGTGCTTTTTAAAGAGCATACATGCTCTCTACTGGACTAAGACAGAAGCAATCCACACAGTAATTGGAAGGGATGACTCCTGTACCTTTTCTAGGACTAATTTCTATGACACTAAGAATTCATGGTTTGTGTTATGGTTGAAATGTGAAACCCCAAAATTCATATATTGAAGACTAAACCCCAGTACCTCAGAATATGACCTTATTTGGAAACAGAGTCATTGCAGGTATAATTAGTAAAGATGAGGCCATACTGGAGTAGGATGGACCCCATATCCAGTATGACTGTATCCTCATAAGAAAGGGGACACTTGGATATACACATACACAGAAACAACACATATGACGGTGAAGGCAGAGGTCAGGGTGATGCATCTTCAAGCCAAGAAACACCAAAGATCGCCAGCAAACCCCAAGAACTACGAGGGAGGCTTAGAACAGACTCTCCCTCACAGTCTTCAGAAGAAACCACCCTGATGACTCCTTGATCTCAGATGTTCAGCCTCCGGAACTATGAAACGACAAGCTTCAGTTGTGTAAGCCACACAGTCTGTGGCAGTTTGTTACAGCAGCCTGGGCAAACTCATACAGTTTGTTTCTCACAGAGCAAATTACACTAGCAAGAAACTTTCAAAGAATAAAATACAAATATGGAAAAGTATATCCTCAGCTAGATATATCCAGAACTGAACTGAATGAATGGGAAAGGGTCAATAACACAAGTTTTCCCAGAGAGAAAGAAAGAGAAGAGACAAGAGTCTTTCCTGAAGTCAACACAAAGCAGCTGTGGCTATCTAAAATAGAATACTTTAAATAAATGCAATGAATGGTAAGAAAAAATGTTCAATATCTTTGGTGAATAAGACATATTTATATCACTAGTTATATATAGTGTAGGGTGTCACTTAACTGGTTTATAGGCAAACAATCATTCTGAGTGATTGAAAAATCTAAGAGCTCAAAATTTATTTACAATATACACTTAGGATTAAATGTAATTCTAGGAGGGACTCTATTTTATAACAAAACTATCACTTATTTAACCTTACAATAATAATATAAAGAAAATGTCTGGCTGGCCAGATAGTTCAGTTGGTTACAGCAGTGTTATAACACCAAGGTTAAGGGTTCAGATCCCTGTACTAGCCAGCCGCCAAAAAAAAAAAAAGAAAAGAAAAGAAAAGAAAAAAGGTAATTAAAAAAACACAGACTCGCCTTACGCTGTGTTAAAAAAATGGTCCAGGGGCTGGCCAGTTAGCTCACTTGGTTAGAGCAAGTGTGTTGATAAGACCAAAGTCAAAGGTTTGGAAACCAAGTACTGGCCAGCCATTTGAAAAAAAAAAAAAAAGGATTTAAATAAAGAAAAAAGTCTGATAGCATAAGCCCTTGCTTCTCTAAGTGTGATCCATATACCAGCAGCTTTGACATCACAAGGGAACTTGTTAGAAATGAATCAGAACCTGCATTTTAATGAGTCTAGATGACTAATATATATTTTAAAGTTTGAGGAGCACTGAAATAATACATATAAATGTGTAGCATCTAAACCATATTAGTACTAATACTTGCCAAAGATGCTAAGTTTCAGTTTTTTCAACTCTAGCAGAGTAGGAAAAAACCTGGTTTTGCACTACAGAAAACCTAGATAATAGTTTTACTAAAAGTACTACTACTATTATAATTCATTGTAAGCAAAGGCCCATAATTTGTTAAAGAGCTGAAATTTTAATTTATGTTCCTATTTCAAGGATCCTCTAAATTAGAAAATATAAAATCATTATAATTAATGTCTGGGAGCCTATCAAAATCCACAGGAAAGAAAAATTTTAAGCTACTTTAATAACCAGTTTCCAAATAAATTTCTCTTTATACTGTCACCAATATCAATAAGTGAAATTTTAAAAAATGCACTACACAAGAATCAACCTGAAACCAGTTTCTCACACTTCACTCAGAGATGTTTCCCTCATAGAGGACTTCACCACTCCAGCATGTTCTTAAGACACCCAAGGATGTCACTACTCTAGACACACATTTCCACGAATACTAAGTCTAGCCCAGTTAAAAAAAAGAAGAAAATAAAGTGGAGCCAAACCACCAGGAGATTCCATCCCATCAGTTTGTTCTTTCAAATGGGATTCCTTCACTTAAAACTTAAGTTTAAGAAATGGCAAAAAAAAAAAAAAAAAAAATCGCTACTCCCAAAAGGCTCCAAAACTCACATTTACATGTTTGCTTGTTTTTCTACATTTTAGGAACACTGGCTATAAGGACAGCATTGTGATACTTTACAGGGCACCATTCTTAATAATGATGGACAATCTAGGATTTTTTTCCCCCAAGTTATGGTTTTAAACAGATTGAGAGGTTCGCTCAAGAACTGGAACTTTTACAAAAAAAAGGAAAACAAGAGAGAAGAGCCTGGGAGCAGAACGGGAGGGAAAAAGTTTATTAAATGACTAAATGTAGATTGCAAAAAGTTCCTTTGTCTATTCAACAAATATTTACTGAGCATCTACTAGGTTCCAGGCACCAAGAGCTGTGAAGGATACAATGGGAAAGATAAGACCTAGTCCCTGCCCTCAGTCTTCATCACACGGGGGTAGAGACAAGCTAACAGGCAGTTAAGCAGGACGAGGTCTGTGGAAATACAGTGAGTCATGGCAGTATATCCTTGCTGACCTATGTCAGACTTGAGAGTACCAAGGTGAGACCTGAGGGAGGAGTAGGAGTTATCTGGGGAAAGCAGGAGACTGTTCCAAACAGACAGAGGTGAAAAAGAACACAGTTAGAAAGCTAAAAGGCCAGCTTGGTTGGGAGTAGGGGAAAGAGTACCAAGAGATGGAGCCAGTAAAGTAAGTACATCCACATCACCCAGGGCCTTGTTAACCAAGTTGAGGAGTTTGGACTTTATCCTACAAGCCATGAGGAGCCATTGAAGGGTCTTAAGCAAAAGGGCACATGGAGTCAGAGGCCAGATCTGCATTTGAGAAGGGACAATGAGTACAGCAGAGAGAATGAACCGGAAGGGGCTAAAACGGGAGACAGATGTCGATGAGCAGGCTACATCAGTGATCCAGATGGGGAGCCGATGGTAGCTTGATCCAGGGTTGTGGTAGTGGGGTGGAATAAGATGGGCAAGTGTGGGAGCCACTTACTAGTAGAATGCAGAGGACTGGTTAACTAACTAGATCTGGGAATGGAGGGACAGAGAGGAATCCGAAATGAAACCTTTTCTAGTGTGGACAATGGAGTGGGCACTGTTTCCGTTCACTGAGCTAGAGAACAGAGAAGAAGGGGGCCTGGGGCAGGGGACACACTGAAGTTTATGTTCCTGAGAAACAAAGCTGGACAGTCAGAAACTAAAATGGCAGATCTTGGATGGAGATGTGGATGGTAACTAAGCCTCAGGAAGGATGACTCCTCCTACCAAGAGTGATAGGGGCCGAGGGCTGAGCCTGAGGAACACAGACATCCACTGGCAGGAAAGATGCACCAAGGAGTCAGGAGAAGGAGTCGGAGGGATCACAGAGGAAGGGGACAAGCCAGAAGCCAGCAGAGTCACAGAAGCAAAGGAAAGCAGTCACATCATGAAGAAAAGGAGTGCGAAGTGCTGCTGAGACAATGCCCAAGAGATGAGGGCATGAGGCGACAGGGGTGGCTGGTGGCAGTGAGAAGGCAGCTGCAGCAGAAAGGGGGGGGTAAGCTGCAAGGAAGCAGTCACATCATGAAGAAAAGGAGTGCGACGTGCTGCTGAGACAATGCCCAAGAGATGAGGGCATGAGGCAACAGGGGTGGCTGGTGGCAGTGAGAAGGCAGCTGCAGCAGAAAGGGGGGGGTAAGCTGCAAGAAAGAGCAGGTGTGGCCAACTCTTCCAAGGGGGCATTGGAGGAAAGAAAGGAACACGGAAAGGTAACAAAGACTTTTGAAAAATGACTGAGTGTAACACTGGCAGCAAATTAAGAAAGGCGTGCCTCGCGTCCCCATATGCGTCAGCATAGCACGCGGAAATCCACGCCTCTGCTTCCCCATGATTGTCTTTGTTTCTGCTGCCTAAGGAAAGGCTTTTGCACTGATGACACAGCAAGTGGGAACAGATACTATCAAGAACACTATGGCATATATCTAAAACTACTCTATGAAAATATGCAAAATTGCTTTTCCTTAAGATGTAAAAAAAAAAAAAAGCAAAAGCAGGAAACTACATTTTTCATTGACTGTTAACCTTCCTAGTTTCTACATTTTCACAACAATGAAAGAGGATTCATTAAAGGACTTTAATGAAGTTTGGATAATTAAAAATAAACTAATATCTTATAATGCCTAATTAGATGGATTTATACATCATTTTTACCTGGATTTTTTTTTTTTAATTACACTCAACAGATATTAAAGAACAGATCTCCAAACTATCATGACAAACCAATTTTCTAAATTGCAATTTGATTAGAGTTATCTGAGCATATAGTTGAAAGAAAAATGTTACCAGGAACACACAAATATGTTTAGCAAGTAAGAGACACAGGTTCCAACATCTACATTTCCCCCGGTACTGCTCTCCTCCAAAATGATCTACTTTGCCACTCATAGCACACTCCCTTCTGCACCACCTCTCCCACCCCTAAAAACAAAGTGAATTCTTGGGCTATTGTGTGTCCTCTGGGTAAACACTAATTCCCTGAGTGAGTTTAGTAGTGAGGGCAGCAGAAGCCACTGTCACTTTTAATTCAACCACAAGACAGAAACTGAGTTGATGGTAGGTCTTTAGATCGTGTCCCAGAAAAACTTTAAATAATTTATCCTTAAAAAAGGATGAAAGAGGTCTTATCAGGGAACATCTTCAACATGAATTTCTTTACCGAATTTTAATTATTTCATATTAAACAATCCAAGTTTAATTTTAAGTGGAAATGGCATGGATTCCATCAGAAAATTTTATAATTTAAAAAAAAAAGCTCAAAACAAATTCTACCTACATGCTTGAAGGTCTAGCATATAGATTTTTAGTTTCTGTAAACACTGAGATTAATTAACCCTGACCTGAAAAATTCTAACACAAAGTTTGTGATTTCTCTCAAACTAATAGCTAGTCCTTTCTATAAATGTAAAAGAGAAAATAAAAAAGAAGTCCAATAATAGAGAGTGAAGGCCAAGATCTAGATGAAAGTAATGCCTTTTTAAAAAATAGCTATAACTATTGTAGGAGAGAGATTTTCTTTTCTCAAATATCTGCAATTCAAAGACTTTGATAATATAGGACTTTATCAATAAGGATAATTCAGAAGTCTCTAATTTATTCACATGGACGTAATGGAAAACCAGTATCTAGAGAAGAAACACGTAAAGACTATCTTACCTCCCACCAGTCTTAAAGATTAGATCTGCATTAGGTGCTCCCTTTGGATGCTGGTAACGAGGCCGCCGTTCACGATTGGTGTTGGCTGGAGCTGGGCGCTGTGCAAGAGACTGCAGCATTTCTGTAATTAGCAGCAAAAAGGAAAATGCTGTTAAACCTTGTAAATGCACTCCCCCTATAAAGCAAATAAAACACTAGAGGTAACAAGTTTATTAGTCCTATCGGGTAGATGACTAAAGAAAAATAACCATTACACAGACTAAAATGATTAAGAAGTACTGAAAGAGCATATCAAGAGATGACATTCTTTTAATACCCAATGTTCCCAATGTTCCCCTTACTGTGAATTTGGCTCCTACATACGTGTCTTATGAGGTAGCAAAAAAGCCTAAGAGGCAGTATAGTGCAATAGCTAAGAGCACAGTGTTTGGAGTGAGGCTATATTGGTTAAAATTCCAGCTCTGCCACTTACCAGCTGTGGGACTTTAGGTTTGGTTTCCCTAAATGTAAAATGCAGATAATAATAACATCTCACAGAATTGTTGTGGTGATTACATGTTTTGAAAAAGTACATAAAACTGTGTTTGGCCACAGTAAGCACTTAATTAAGTGTTAGCTATTAGCACTAAAAATGTCGGGCATCAATTGGGAGAGAAGATTCTAGAAGTGGGATTAAAAGATAGATAACTATAAATAATTATTTATACAACACTTGCAAAACTAGCAGTTTGTTTGCAACAGTGCTATACAAACAACCGTATTATGGCTCTAAAATCTGGACACCATACGAATGGCAAACAACTGGCATATGAGGTGTCCATGGACCCTATATGTAAGATTCCTATTAACCCAAGAATGCAGAGCATCTATGCATAAAACCAACTTGAGTATAACCTCAAATCTGAAGGAACATGGGGTCCTTAAGACCAGGACTTCAAATAGGCAAAATGAGGTATATCTTGGTTGAATTAATTAAATGAAATATTTGTTAATTTACAGTGGTTGAATTGCCAGCACATTTGGCTGGCAATGTGAGGCAACTAAAAATTGATTATCACCTCATTTGCAAACACAGCTAACAGTGTATAGTCCAATTGATTATGGAGTTAGCAAAATATAATGAAAATTACGTTATTGTTATTTTACAAATAAGTGAGAGAAAAATGAAGATAGCATGGGATTAAAAAACAATTAACTTCTCAGTATAAATATGTACAGTATGTCATGAGAAGGTGAGAGAGAATAACAACTTTGATACTTTATACTTAACACATTCAAAAGGCATCAAAATTTTCCACTTTTTTTAGAAACAATTTTATACCTTGATAATCTTCTTGTTCTTGCCGTTCGTTGATATCTAGTGTGAGCTTTTTCATTCTCATCCTCTCTTCTTGTTCTGCCTGTTGTTGGTTCCAGTGATTTGCAGCAAGTTGGGACGACATGGGTACATTAAGGATCTTAAACTGAGAAAAAAATAACAAGGAATCACAAATAGCTTGAGAAAACTGAAAGAAAACACAGACTTCAAATAAAATAGCAAGTAGAATTAAATGTTTAGAAAAATGATAATGTCTTTCCTGTACTGTAAATCAATAGATAGTGCCATCTAAGAACATCTAAGAACAGACACTACTATTACTCTAATAGACACAAAACCCAGCAGGGTTGGATGAGAGGTGAAAGGCCACCAAGTTCCACTTCTGTAAAAAGCAGAACTCCCTCTTTATTGTACTCTATTTGGAAGCACACATCTAACAACAGGGGACAACTTTTCTTCCTGTAGCCTCTGTCATGTATGGATAACTGTCAGGAATGCTTCTTATACAACAAACTGTAATCTGCATCCTTTTCATTTCTATCTGCTTCCTGAACTATATGGAACAAATCTGGTCCATTTTCAGCATTACTAGCCCTTCACACTTCTGAAGACAGCTGTGATGTTGGGAAGAAGGGAGAGTTAAACAGCTGGCCTAGAGAGACCAAGTTCTCTGTTATAGGGAGAGAGTGAGTCCCTATTGAGGAATCATTTTGTTTTTAGCAGGATGTTCCTAGTTTAGGATTGTTCACAGTAAACAAGCCAGACTTGATCTATGAATTTATGGGTAAAGGCTCCCTGGAATATGTTAAGTAAGCTATGTTACCATCTAAGCATAAAATGGAGATGTTTCATAACCTAACCTCTCTCTGCTGTGTGATAACCTGCACATCTCATTTAAAAAGACTTCATCTGTTACTCTGGGCCAAAGATATGTCTGATGTGGAAAGGCAGGATTTGGGAAGCTGTGCTCAGGCTCCCAGACCGCTCTCTGCTTGATCCGTGCCTTCTGAATGCTAGCATCCTTGAAATTATTAGTAAAGTGTATTAACACTGCAAAAGATTTCTGATTTATTTGAGTCTGATTTCACAATTTGACTCTTTGTATTATCTCAGATGTCTTCTCTTGGTATTCTCTCTTATGAGCAGTTCAGTTAGTTAATGTTCTTCTTAAGACGTAATACCCAGAACATTAAGCTCACTAGGCCAGATACACTAAGGTGAAAAATATTAAGCATGGATAAGAAACTATCCACAAACCCAACTAACTATATTTCACATCAAAGGTAGCAGATTATTAAATATCTCACATATCAAAATTTAAAATGTTAACAATTACCAGCCTGGTAAACCTCACCTTTTCTCCCCAATAAACTTAGCTTAAGAGGATTTGCAACTCCTTGCAACTATCACTTTATTTTTAAAGAGCTCAAAACCATTAAAAAAAAAAAACACATTTAAAATGTATGTGATGAGACACAACAGACTGCAGAGCTTGTTAGAGCAAGAGTCGGTGTGCCAGGTGCTGAAGAGCCCAGGAGTGTTGCATGACTGAGCGGCAGAGCCAAGGTGGGCCCAGGTCTCCCGTCTGTTAATTGGAGGTGACGTGAAGAACCGCAGACCCAGACTCACGCTGGCAGTTCTTGAATAGGCCACGACAGGGATGATGAAGAAACTGGGAAACAGTGAGGTTAAGAAATGGTAGAGACTTGATTTGAACCCGGAAAGTGTAAAGGACAGACAGCAGAGAAAGACATCTCAGAAAATGCCATTTTGCGACGGGTCTGGAGCGGCCGTGACAGGAGACAGCGCGATCCTGAGAGCTGTGCGCTGTGATACCAGAGTATTGATTGCATTTCCAAGAGCAACAAAAGGCGAATAATTCTTTCAAGAACGATCCTACATCGACAAACAAGCGGCAGCAGGTTCGAGATTTTGGGGCCGACACAGAGGAGGACTCCTGAGAGCGCCCAAGCCCGGCTGCGGGAACGAGCGATCAGCCCAGACAACAAAGGCCAGGAAAGCCAGCAAAGGACTGTGCAGAGGCGGAATGAAGCACGCCATACCGGCACAACTATGC